CCCCCAGTGCACAAATTTTTGTGCACCCGGGCCTCTAGTTACTACTATAAAAACACATTCTGATTTAAAAGAATTTTTAAGGAGATCCATCTTGCTCCACTTTCTTTGTTTTTAACTTTCAGATTTGCTTATTCAGAGTTGTTTAAATTTATTTTATTCTAGCTTCTATGTTTTTTTTTTTCTTTTTTCTTAATTCTTTTGGATTACATTAAAAATTAATTTAAATTGATCTGGTCAAGATGGTGGTAAATGTGTTACTTGCATCCTCCTACAACCACTTCAAAATTACAACTAAACTACAGACCAACCATCATTCAGAACTGCCTCAAGTCTAGCTAAACAGAAGTCCTAAACTAAATATATAAAGAAGAAGCTACATCGAGACTCATAGGAGGGGCTCAGAGACTCAGAATGGGCTGGTCCCACACCCTGTGTGGTGATTAAAAATGAGGAGGGATATCTCAGCTGCAGAGGTTCTCCTGAGTAGCAAGGGGTCAGAGCCTCACACCAAACCCCCAACACCAGGGTTCCAGTGCCAGGAAGAGAAGTCCCCATAACCTCTGGCTGTGAAAATCAGTGGGGATTGTGGCTGAGTGCAAGGAATTGCTCTTAAAGTGCCCATGTACAGACATACTGGGACTCACTTGCTCTGAGCTCCAGCACTGGGGCAGCAGCTCGAAAGGTACCAGGGATATACTGGGTTCCAGGAACTGAGCTGTCTGGCTTTGGGGCAACAGCTGAAGGGGCAGCTTTCTCCCAGACAGAAGTGCTGGCAGAGGCGATTGTTCCTCTCTAAGCCCTCCCCCCACAGAGCTGGCTAAAGAGCACTACATCTGAGTTTCCAACAACCAGGCTGACTGTTCGCTCTGCCCTGGTGATTTCCTGAAATACCTGTCTCCTCCCCAACCTTCATGCCAGGCCCACCCAGGCTGTTTCCAGTGGCTTTCCCATATAAATGGCCTGTCTTGGCTCATGCTGCAACTGTCCTAAAATTTCTGAAAGGTTCACAAGCCCCAAACAAGCAACATCTGTCCTTGACATGCCCCATACCTCATGCTAAGTGTTCCTAGGAGCAGCATTAGTGGCAACCATCTTTGATTTACAGGTTGGCCTTTGCAAGCTTAGCCCAAGTAGCAACCCTCTGCAGATAGCTCTGTAGCTCATGCTGGCTGGCCCCGGGCAGGGCACAGGTGGCAGCTGACATTTACCTGCACCTCCTTAAAGGCCTCAGAGCTAGTGAACCTGGTGATTAGTTTCAGATCACATCAAAGTACTTCCACAACTACTTCCACAAGCGACAGACTCAAGGGGCAAACTCATCAGGCACCAGAGCCCCAATGAAGCAAGTCCTACTCTGTGGGGTTGAACCCTGAAAAGCAGCTCCTCCACTGTAGTCAAGAGTGTCCTCATAGCCCATCAGTTTGGGGCAAATCCCTCCCATTGATGTGTCAACAGCAATCAAGGCTAACTACAACAGGAAGATGTACACAGCCCACACAAGGGGCACAACTGGAACACTCAGCTCAGGTTACCAAGGAGGCCCTTCAGAACACCTACTACATAAGGCCACTCTACCAAGGCTGGGAGACAAAACAGCTCTACTCAGTACATAGCAACAAATACAAGGAGGCAGCCAAAGTGAGGAGACAAAGAAGCATTTCCCAAATAAAGAACAGGCCGCCCTAACCCGTTTGGCCAGTGGATAGAGCGTAGGCCTGCGGACTGAAGGGTCCCAGGTTCAATTCTGGTCAAGGGCATGTACCTTGGTTGCGGGCACATCCCCAGTAGGGGGTGTGCAGGAGGCAGCTGATCGATGTTTCTAACTCTCTATCCCTCTCCCTTCCTCTCTGTAAAAAAATCAATAAAATATATTAAAAAAAAAAAAAGAACAGGACAAAATTCCAGACAAAGAACTAAATAAAATAGAGACAGGCAATCTACCAGATGCAGAATTCAAATCACTGGTTACAAAGATGCTTTAATAAACTTAGTGGAAGTATAGAGAAACTAAGTAAGAACTTCAACAAAAAGATAGAAAACATAAAATGAACATAGAAAACATAAAAAAGAACCAGTCATAAATCAAGAATACAATAAATGAAATGAAGAATACATTACAAGGAATCAATAGTAGATGAAGCAGAAAATCAAATCTGTGATATGGAAGTAAGGAAGCAAAAACATCCAATCAAACCAGCAAAAGAAAAGAAGAATCCAAAAAAATGAAGACAGTACCTGCTGGGACAACTTCAAGTGTACTAACATTCACACCATGGGAAAAGAAGAGAAAAGAGAGACCAAGGGATTGAAAGCCTATTTGAAAAAATAATGATGGAAAACTTCCCTAGCCTGGTGAAAGAAATAGACATATAAGTTCAGGAAGCTCAGAGAATCCTATAAAAGATGATCCCACACAAAAACACATTGTAATTAAAATGTCAAAGGTTAAAGACAAAGAGAGAATCTTAAAAACAGCAAGAGAAAAAATGTTAGTTACCTACAAGGGAACTCCCATAAGACTGTCAGATAAATTCTCAGCAGAAACTTTGCAGGCCAGAAGAAATTGGCACGAAATATTCAAAGTGATAAAAAGCAAGCACCTAAAACCAAGACTACTCTATCCAACAAGGCTATAATTTTGAATTGAAGGACAGATAAAAGAGCTTCCCAGACAAAAAATAGCTAAAGGAATTGATCACTACCAAACTGATATTGCAAGAAATGTTAAAGAAATGTATTGCAATATCCTACATTTTAATTCAATTCAATTCTGTTACTAACTGCCCAGAGTTAGCAGAGACCCATGAAATATATTTTCCCAATTCCTTTCAATCTGTGTGTGTCTTTTGATCTGAAATGAGTCTCTTGCAGACAGCATATGTAAGGGTCTTTTTATATTATCCATTCAGTCCCTGTGTGTCTCTTGATTGGAACATTTAATCCATTTCATTTGAAGTAACATTTGGCCTGGCCTGTGGGGATCAGGCCAAAACAGGCAGTCTGACATCCCCTGAAGGGTCCCAGATTGCGAGAGAGTGCAGGCCAGGCTGAGGGACCCCACCAGTGCACGAATCTGTGCACTGGGCCTCTAGTTTTAAATAACATATTTTCCATATTCAAGTGTTTTATTGCATTTTAATTATTATTTTTACATGTTTTTCAAACATTTATCTAAAGTTCAACAACAGTTCCTTTACTTTTATGTTTGCTTTTATTTGATTGATCCAAAATAAAATATATGCAAATATCTTTTCTTAAAAAGAGCATATATTATGATTCATTTTATGTAATTTCTCTATCTAAACTTATTTCTATATGAGTATGAAGAGATTTTTTGATTTGATAATCTCTATATCTAAAACCCAGCGACCAGAACACCAGAACAGCAGAACAACCAGAACGACCAGAATGACTGATGGCTATGATGTGCACTGTAGCAGCTAACCAGCCTGATCTGGGTCCCCATCAGGGTGGTGGGCCGGACCCTACCCATGCCCAAATTCGTGTACCGGGCCTCTAGTTATTTAATACTGAAATTCTGATTTTTAAGTGTTTGTGAATTAGTTTTTTTCTTTGTTTTTTTTTCTTTTTATACTTTCTCATTGCTTGAATGCTTTTAAATATGTATAATTTAAAAAAAAATGTGTAATTTTTCCAAAAACAACAGAGGTATTATTTTTAGGAAGTAGATCAAAGTTAAAGTATTAGAGAATACCAATAGTTAAGGGAAAAATATAAATAAGTTCTAGTAGAAGACTGAAAAGATACAGGAAAGAAAAGTAGAAGGTAAAACAGGGGAAAACCAATGTTTCAGAAATCAGTGAAAAAGTAAGCTTGAAATATGATATAAATCAATGGTGTAAAATAAAGGGGTTCAAATATTGAGCCTGACAAGTCACTGGTGAGAACAATTGGAACAACAATAATTGGTACAATAGACTGATAAATGGTACATGAAAATTTAATTATTAAGTATAAATTACTGACTTTTAGGTGTTCTATTTCATTTTCTCATGAGAAGTGATGTTAATGAGATACAAACCAGTAAAGCCATGGGAAAAGGGGGAAAATGTAAGATTCTTAGATGAAATTGAAAATAAAACATCACGAACTAAAAATTTTAAAATGCCTACATTAAGTATTTATTCTCACAAAAAATTTACCTTCTTTTTTCTCTGCTATCCATGTATTCAATTCTTGTATTGTTGCTTTGTCAATAGACATATGCACTTTAAGTTTATCCAATTCTTCCTGAAGATTCATCCTATGAAAATTAACATAAGTAACTATTGAAGTGAATAATGTAACAAACAAATAAAGGCAGCAGGCTATTTAAAAATATATGAACTAAACTGAAGTAAAATAAAAGCAAAAATATATTAACATTAACAAATCTTGCCGAAACCCGTTTGGCTCAGTGGATAGAGCGTCGGCCTGCGGACTGAAAGGTCCCAGGTTTGATTCCGGTCAAGGGCATGTACCTGGGTTGCGGGCACATCCCCAGTAGCGGGTGTGCGGGAGGCAGCTGATCGATGTTTCTCTCTCATCGATGTTTCTAACTCTCTATCTCTCTCCCTTCCTCTCTGTAAAATTCAATAAAACAAATCTTAACAATTAAAATAGTATTTAATGAGGACCTGAAATTTTTAAAAATGTTAAATACTTAAAAAATAGACTATATGATTTTTAAAAATCATATATTGAGTTATCTGACCACTTCCTAACACTCAATATGCTATGTATAACATTATAAAAATGTTAATTTATACCACTTAAAGCAAAGATAGTAAATCTCTAGATGCCAAGATAAAGAACCCTTACCAGTAAAATGGAATTGACGTTCCATCATGAGAGAGTTGGATCAAGTAATGCCCATGGAGGCCTCAGACCTTGAGACCTCAGTGGGGATGGAAGCTTATGCACAAGGCCCTTCATGACTGATAGATAAACATGGGCTAACTGCAGAAAGCTGGGAGACAAAATATTGCTGAATAAAATCCTGAATACCAGAGCTTGTCTGGTTAGACCTCTATTGAAAAGAGGCTTCCTGTTCCAGTGTGAGGGCAGGACAGAGTGAACTATATGAGATCAGAATCCTAAGTCTCAAATTTGGGCCATATATATTTGCAGAGACCTGACAAATCAATAATAATGTAAAAACAGGTTTATGGCCAATGTACACTGGAGAGTTCACAATCATCTAATACAGACAGGCTTACACAATTGAAAGAAATGATAGGAGAAACACCACCATGAAAAATAATTCTCAAAGAAGTCAAGTTTACAGATAAGAATAAACATATAAATAACTTCAAAGCCATGAATGACAGTCTACATATCACCACTGCTAAAATCGGCAAAGGCACAAGAAAATAGATATAATAGAGCAATTAGAAATGATTTATTATTTATATTAGAGTTTTTAAAATGTTGAAAAAAAGAAAAAGAGGTGACAAGCATATTAAAAAGAACAGGGATTTATGGAACAAAAGAAGACAAAAAATAAATCTACATACCTGTATATATAGAAATGCTAAATAAAGTAAATTTATTAATAATAATAACACAATTGAAATTTAAAACTCAGTGGATGAGTTAAATAGCACACAGATAGAGCTAATGAAAACTGGAAAATCAAAGACCACACAAAGAAACAAAGAAGAGAAAAACAGTAACAATATAAAGTATGTTGGAATGAGAAGTCCAGAAAACACCTAATTTCTGAGATATCTGAGAAGATTTGGGGATGGGGAGACAATATTCGAAAATATTACAACTAAAAATTGAGAACTGAGTAAAAGTATGAATAAACAGATGAAGAAAATATAAAAAAATGCAAACAGGATAAATAAAACTAATCACACTTAGAAACAGTGAAACTGAAAAAGAGACAATTTTAAAACCCACTGAATTGCAAACAAAAATCAATTAACAACTAAAGAATTTTGGAATGACAACAGACTTCACACAAACAAGAAAAGCTAGAAGGAAAATAAGTAATATTTTCCACATTCCAAGGGTTACTATTCGTGCATCATAGATGAAATAGCTATTAAAAATATAATTTAAGAAAAAAACTCGAAAGCAATGAATGAAACAAAATAGGCAATGATGATGAAATACGTTTGTAAATGTATACATGTAACTAAACAAACATTATTATTCAAAGCAATCATAACAATATTGAAGTTAAGGTAGAGATAAAATAAGGTAGAACTGAAGTTCTGAACAACAAAATAATATAAGAACGTAGAAAGGTTCAGAGTTAAAAGCATTTAAAAATCTTTGCATTCATTGTTGTACCAGGATAGAGGTAGTTATGAACGTCAGACTTTGTCAAATAAATGGTGTATGCTATAATTTCAAGAAAAAGCATTTAAAGAATGAAAAACAAATATAAAATATTCAAATGAGAAGAGGTAAAAAAGAGAAATACAGAAAATATAATCAAATAGAGTTTGGATTAGTTTCCTACTTTGTTTAGCTAAGAACATGGAACAAACTGAAGCAAGATGGCCCCCCAAAGAAAAAGCAGATGTAGCTCATCTCAATTTAGTTTTCCTTGGCTCTCAAATCACTAACCCAGCAGAACAAAGGGCTACAGTTGTTGGGTAATGTTATTTCTTGCTTCTTTATTTTATACTTACAGCTTATTCTTTTTTAGGAAGAACTCACACAATCCCTACTTCTAATAAAAAGTATTTATAAACACTAGGGGCCACTTATTCTTAAGTCAAACTAAGTTTCAAGAAACCACATCGTACTGGGTGTTTGGAGGATGGGCTGACAGAGTCAATGCCCAGGCACTCCTGAGCCAGATGAATATTGCCTATCTACAAACAACCCACTAATCTGAGGTTTCAAATTATTCTACTACTCTGTTGAGTCTGAGGACCACAATTCATAATCTACTACTTACTGGACAAATTATATGAAATGACTACATTTAAATGCTGGACAATAAGCAGCAAAGAACTATGATCTCTGTGGGATATAAAATCAACAAAGACTGCAACTGAGGGTCCTTACAACTGATGAAATTTTAAATCCTAGCTCTAGCAATTATCCCCCACCCACCCAGACGTTTGCCCAGATAATCAGCAACTCCTGAGGCAGCAGCAGAGAGTAAGCCCGGACATGACTAAGGGTCACATGGTCCAGACCTCTAGCAGGCTAGAATGAACATCTTAAATTATGTCTCAGTTCCTGAGCCCTAAGGTGGAATAACCCCCTGGCTACTTTCCCATAAGACTGTTTAGCATAGGTAGCTAGCTAGGTATTAACAAAAGAGAATGGAGCTAGACATCTAATTAATGGGATTAACTAGGAAGCTATAGCTTCACAGACACCCCAGGGGACAGCCACATCCTCTGCCAAAGGGACTAATCCCTGAGTGTGCAGAAGCAGGCAGGAGTGAACAGCTTTCCAGTCTCCCCAGGAAACAACCAATCTGGTCCTGCAAACTAGGAGCGGGAGTGGAACCAGCCAGGGGGGAAATTCCTTTGCTGGGCACATGCACAGTAGAAGTCAAGATGGGCAGGGGAGGCCTTCCACTAAGTTTATGGGCAGTACAAGTGAGATGACAAACAGAACTTTGAGGCATGCACAGTAGAAGCCAAAATAGGAATCAAAAAGGGGAGGAGGTTAGCCTGAAAAAAAAGGTCAGATAGGATAAGGCAGCCTTGGGCAAACTACAGCCCGAGGGCCGGATCCGGCCCATTTGAAATGAATAAAACTAAAAAAAAAAAACAGACCGTACCCTTTTATGTAATGATGTTTACTTTGAATTTATATTAGTTCACACAAACACTCCATCCATGCTTTTGTTTCGGCCCTCCGGCCCTCGAGTCAAAAAGTTTGCCCACCCCTGGGATTAGGGCATGGAACCCCAGAAGATTCAGGAAAGAGACTAGATAGGGGGAGGGCCCAGCACAAGCCTGGGAAGAAAAAGGAAAGAGATTGGATAGTTTGAAAGAAAACCTACTCTCTCCTAAAGCCAATGTAATATAATCAAAGCTTAACAAAGGCTTAAGGGACTCTCCATTTCTCTCTATAGCAGCCACAGGGGCCTGGGTATGGCAGCCAAGTAGGAGGAGGATGCACAGTACCGAAAGCTGGAGAGATGGGAACAGAGACTGGGCTGAACTACTAGAGACAGGAAGTGAGGCTAATGGCAAGGCAGCTCTGGCTTCTGGCCTCTTCCTGGTTTTGGTGCAGTCCCAGAGGCTGGACTTCTGCAGCAAGAGTGAGCTGAGCCACCTGGCCATGGATGAGACATCAGGAACCTGGGGGCAGTCCACTGTTTTTGCTCTAAAAAATCTTGCCACTATACCTCATCCTCTTCTGCATGTATCTTTGAAATGCATTTCCTATTTGCCCCAGTAACAACTGGACAGAGCGATGCTGGCAAAGACCTGAAGAAATGATCTATTGCACAAATCCAACCCACTGTCTCATGATTTTTGCCCATATAACATGTAATCTACATGCCACTGGGGAGTTGGTTTAGTTAGAGTACTAGCTCTTCATCTCCATATTGACCAATTCAATATTAAACTACTTTTTTTCTTTCTATACTGCAAACTCCTGTTTGTGCATTTCTTTGGGCCAGCACATCAAAGCAGGTAGAACCAAGGGAAAACATTGGGGTTCCATTAACAAGAGAACCCTAAAATGTCAGCCCATACTTCTGCCAGGAGACAATCTTCATACCATGATGCAGGGAGAAAGGGGCCACACCATGGTAAGTTGAAAGAAAGGAGATTGGAGCCCTGGCCAGTATGGCTCAGTTGTTTGATCACTGTCCTGTGCACAGAACGGTCACAGGTTCAATTCCCCTAGTCAGAGCACATACCCAGCTTGTGGTTCCATCCTTGGTTAGGGTGCATAAAGAAGACAACTGGTTGATGTTTCTCTCTCACATGTTTCTTTCTCTCTCTCTCTCTCTCTCTCTCTCTCTCAATAAATTAATAAATAAATAAATAAATTAATTGAAACATATTTTTAAAAAGAAGAGATTAGAGTTTTGGAAGGTTGAAATGGCTAGAATTTGTGAAGTACAGTACCTAGAGAGGAGGAAGCTACAAAGAGAAAGAGCTACAGAAATCTACATAAGAATTCTTTTGAGTCTATGGCTAATATTTTGTTGCATATGCATAGTATGAAGCTAAATAAGGCAGGCAAATAACAACTAGAAAAACAGTTCACAGCACTGGAGACATTTAAATTGTGAACTAATGATGAGAATCTCTGTTGAAAGCAAAA